CTGCCGGATTTACAAAAACAAATTGATTTGCCACGAAGGTGGACTTGTCCATAGAATCTTCACAAAGAATTTCGCAGCAATGCAAAAACGCGTCTGCACTCCACGAAAGCATGATCGAGACTGTGTTCCTATGGTAGCTATATGATATATTCATCCGATTATGATAAAATTAAATCCAAAATTCAGACCTAATAAAAAAATGTTATTTCCAAGGGTAGGAGGTTATGTTAAAAACACCGAAGCTATAATTTGTTTCATTGTATTTTCCCACCAAATTTCCGATCGTTCCTTTGGCAGCTTTATGATATAGTCGTCCGATTTTGATAAAATCAAAACTAATTAAAAATGTTATTTCCAGGCTTAGGAGGTTATATATATATTATACAGTTGTCCGATCCTGCTGGTTCCGACTTATATACTACCTGCAAAAGAAATAAGACTTTTGGGAAAGTTTCAGCCCGATAGCTTTAAAAATGAGAGACTAGGTTGCGTAGAAACGGACGGACAGTCGAACAGACGGACATGGCTAGATCGACTCGTCTAGTGACGCTGATCGAGAAAATATATACTTTATGGGGTCGGAAACGTCTTCTTCACTGCGTTGCAATTTTCTGAATAAAATCATTATACCCTCTAAAAGGATATAAAAATAATCACAGAAATATAAAGATAATGTTCAATTTCAATTAATTATCGCGCATGTCTTACCGATAACGAACTAAAACGGTTATTGTATTTTTTTGACATTTATTTTCCGGTCCTACCTATATCAAATTGAATTTGTTATTGTAAAATATTATAAAATGCTAAATACCTGAGAGAAAGAAAATATGATCAAAAGGAAGAGAGATCGCTATAGTCAAGTGCCTCGACTATCAGATATCCGTTACTCAATTTTAAAATGTGAAAATTGGTAATATATATAATATGTTTAATCACAACAATCTCTAATAGTTTCCGAGATCGCAGCGTTAATACAGACAGAGAGACAGTCGGACAGGCGGACATGGCTAAATCGAGTCGGCTGTTGATCTTGATAAAGAGTATATACACATAATATGTTCGAAAACGCTTCCTTCTTCCTGTTGAGTAGCGAGTATCTAATTGTCTAAAACGTCTACTAAAGCGCCCTTTATTATATTTTGTATGGTCTTGGCCGCCGTACAGGAATTGTTTCAAAACAAAATTGAAAGAAGCTTGTGCTTCTATTCTTCGATATTAATAAATGTTGAGAGAGTATTCTCTGGATACATATAGTTAAGGAAAACGCAAATAAAAGTTTATATTTTCGTCTTGTATGTCTTCAACAGTAATCAAAGTTTATATGGTGTGTGACAACTTTGATGGAGGCGTTGATCTTATCACAACTTATGTGCCCCAAGATAACAGAACAAACAAGGAAAAACGCTGCAGTCGAGTGCCTTGACTATCAAATACCCGTTAGACACCTAAAGGGAGCAAGCAGGGGGAGCGATAGCGCGACCTACCCGCGATTTATACGGTGTGTGACAACTTTGATGGAGGCCTTGTTCTTAGCACAACTTATCTGCCCCAAGATAACAGAACAAACAAGAAATAACGCTGTAGTCGAGTGCCTCGACTATCAAATATCCGTTACACACCTAAAGGGAGCAAGCAGGGGGAGAGATAGCGGGACCTACTCGCGATTTAAATAGATTTAAGCGTTATGAGCGTTTGTGGGCGTTAGATTGGGCGTGTCAATCTTTTTTTAGGTCAATCGATACGTATGACCGAAATTTTTAAAGTTCACCTGCAATGCATATGGCATGGTCTTAATGTCAAGCGGCTAGGCTTGTTGCCAAACGGAAAACAAATCAGTTGGAGCAATATTGAAAAGAACAGTCTGCACTAGCAAAAAAATAAAAATAAAAATAAATGAAATGTTCAACGAATGTTTTTTTTGATGTAAATTAAAAGTTTTAGGCTTCTTTATCCCACGTCCACGGATGCTTCGCCATCCTTCTCGCGCCATCTGTAATCCAGCTTCGAGTCCCAATAGGCCTATTGGACCTTGAGGAAGTGGAAGCCGAAATGGGAACGGGGCTGTTCCGCCTGTTGCTGCATGAAGTCGCCCAGCGTCGTGGTAATGGCTGATGATGGCTCCTCCATCTGTCTCTTAGCGAGCGACCTTATTTCCTCCTCCCTATAGAGGCCGGCGCGTCCTTCATCTCCGCTTTAGCTGCCAAGTAGCTGGTGGAGGTGGAGAGCTCGTCGGAGATCGAGCGATGTCCCATGTTCCTTCCCACTGGGATTCTCTAGTGGATCTCCTCCAGCACTTCAACTATTCTGCGGTTCTGCGGATTTTCCCCGTTGTGGTATTGCTTCCTGTCGGTCAAGTCCCACAATAATTGGCAACAGCTTGGATTAGGCGTCCTTTTTAATGTGTACTAACCTTCTTAAGGAGTTTTTGGGGTTTATCTTCCATTTTTAATTTGGAAATTCCCCACAGTTTCTGCACAAACACCGCCAAAAATTAAATTTCTTATTCTTTGGGCTTTGGGCTTCTTATTCTTTCTTTCGGCTAACGGCGTTCATCGAAATTCACTCGTTAAATCTGGTATTTTTTAGCTCATCTGAAAAACAATCCATAGGTATTGACGACAACAAAACATTTAAGTTACATTTTTTCCTAGCCTTAAAACTGCACTGTACGGAATCAAAATCTTAAATTTCAACACGGACGGACAGATTACACAGACAAAATGTTGCCTTAAAATTCGACGTTTTAGGTGTCAATATAGGGTCAAAACATTTTAAAAAGTAAAATAAAGCGTTTTGGACAGCATAAGTAAAAACAAGAAAGAACTATCAGATACCAGTTACTCAACTCAGGGACCAAAGGGAAATGGAGATATGCAAGCAGCAACGCGAGATTGAAATCCGCCACCTACCCGTGATCTCAATATATGGTTATGTAGGCGGTAGACAGATTTAAGCGTTATGCGCGTTAGAGTGGTCGTGGCAAACTTTTTTGGTCAATCGATAGGTATTGACGAGACTAATACATTTCAGTTAAAATTTTTTATCTAGCATAAAAATTGTGGGCGCCACAGGCTTGGGCGGTTTGTGGGCGTTAGAAAGGGCGTGGCACATTGCTGAAATAAACTTGCACTGCGCAGGAATCTCAGGAATCTGCATGCTTAACCCCAGTATTGTAGCTCTTATAGTTTCCGAGATCTCAGCGTCCATACGGGCAGACGGACAGACGGACATGGCAATATCGACTCGGCTAGTAATCCTGATCAAGAATATATATACTTTATGGGGTCGGGAACGCTTTCTTCTGCCTGTTACATACTTTCCGACGAATCTAAAATAGTCACAAAAATATTAAGATAATGTTAAATATTAATGAATTCGCGCGCATGTCTTATCGATAACGAAATAAACTTGCACTGCGCAGGAATCTCAGGAATCTGCATGCTTAACCCCAGTATTGTAGCTCTTATAGTTTCCAAGATCTCAGCGTTCATACGGGCAGACGGACAGACGGACATGGCTATATCGACTCGGCTAGTAATCCTGATCAAGAATATATATACTTTATGGGGTCGGGAACGCTTCCTTCTGCCTGTTACATACTTTCCGACGAATCTAAAATAGTCACAAAAATATTAAGATAATGTTAAATATTAATGAATTCGCGCGCATGTCTTATCGATAACGAAATAAACTTGCACTGCGCAGGAATCTCAGGAATCTGCATGCTTAACCCCAGTATTATAGCTCTTATAGTTTCCAAGATCTCAGCGTTCATACGGGCAGACGGACAGACGGACATGGCTATATCGACTCGGCTAGTAATCCTGATCAAGAATATATATACTTTATGGGGTCGGGAACGCTTCCTTCTGCCTGTTACATACTTTCCGACGAATCTAAAATAGTCACAAAAATATTAAGATAATGTTAAATATTAATGAATTCGCGCGCATGTCTTATCGATAACGAAATAAAACGGTTTTTGTATTGTTTTGACATTAACATTCCGGTCCTACCTATACCAAATTAAATTCGTTATTCTGAAATATTATAAAATGTTAAACACCTGAGAGGAAGAGAATATGATCGAGAACAAGAGAGACCACTATAGTCGAGTGCCTCGACTATCAGTTAGCCGTTTTTCAGCTTTAAAATTGGAAAATTGATAATATATGTAAAATGTTTAATCCCAACCTTCTAGCTCTAATAGATTTTGAGATCTCAGCGCTTATACGGACAGACAAACAGACGGACACGTGAACTTAGCCAATCGAATCGGTTATTGATCTTGATCAAGAGTATATACACATAAAATGTTCGAAAACGCTTTCTTCTTCCTGTTACATACTTTCGGAAGAGTCTTGAGTACACCATTTTATTGTACGGGTAACTGGTATAACTATGTCTCCACTCACAATAGTTTCTAATTAACTGTTTTAAAGTAAAATGATTTATTCTAAGATTGTAAATTTATGATCAATTTTTGATCAATTTTAGTTCTTATATCCGTTATATTGTATTCCTTTAAAGTATGTATTTTCGCTTTTTTGAGATATTTGAATAATTAACTAATTTTATCAACTTTGTTCAATTTTGTCGGACGCTTGCATCAATATTAGCTATGTGGTATATAGAAAAGTGGACGAGCGTTCTGTTTCCAGTAAAATGTGTTTATGATGACCGAAATCGGCTCATCAGAACTCACTATACAAAACAAGGAAGAACGATATTTATGCCATATATATCTGAAAGATACCCGCTACTCAGCTTTAAAATTGAAAATGGATAATAAACGTTCTGATGATTGTTTTAAAAGTGGAAAATATCGACCTTCTCGCGTCCCATCAGTTCTTTTTCAGCAATTAAAATTTTGCATATACCCAATCGAAATTGGATAAATTAAATTGTTATTAAGTTTATTGGGAAGAGAACAAATATAGAATTGAATTTAATTGAATCATTTATATTGTATGAAGTATTTCTGTATTCAAATCTATTCCTAAGACATGTAGTTGATCAACATTCTTGTAAACATTACCAATTCGCAAAATTTATCTATCATTTTGTAGAATGTGGAGACCTTAACCGTCTGTATAAAGTTAAGGGCTTCCCGATCAGTAAACGACTTTAAATAAACCAGCATACTTTGTTACGTACGCGATTGCTTTCACTCTAGATTCGCTAGGCAACGTACATTTCGGCGACCTTGACAGGGCACAGGGTCTGTATAAACGTACAAGTTCAATTCATTGTGTGATATCTTGGACACTATTTCTGCACTGCGCGAGTAATTGCTATCACTCTACTTAGAAACTGGTTTACTTAATGAAATTATAGTTCACAATGTTCTCTTAAAGGTGAATTCATATGCTCGGCAAGCCTACAATTGATATCTAGACTATGTTGCCTTAACAACTTTTACAAGACGTTTAGCCGATACTGCGAATTCCTGGACGTCATCGCGCCGTGCACCATTTCGGAGCGGCTGTCAGAAAGGCATCAGGAAAAATCGCCATGGCAACTTACGTAAGGCATTTGTCGCGGCCCAGAACAGCGGTCTCAAGTGCAAATCAACGGATCACACCATCGGGAAAATGCCCCTCATTTGCAGAGTTCAGCGTCAATAAGCGGTTCAACTTTTGTGCCTAAATTGCCTTAGCAAGGTGCACATGGCGGGCAAGTACAGCTTCAAATTTAAATGCCACGTATGCCGGGAATGCAGCTCTCAGTCACCACAATAAAGTCAAGAGTAGGACACGGAGAGTGGTTGCTCAAATTTGTCATAACGAAGTTCATCACTCAAAGCCAGTCGAAGAGCATTGTTAAAACCAACTGATGGAAGCTTCAGGTCGGAATCCAACCCTTAATTCTACAAACCAAGCAAGATCGACATTTTAATCAGTACCCAGGAATTGTTTAAGCTCTTCGGAGAAGGTAAAATATCTGTCGGTCCAAATCTACCCTATTTGCAAAATTCTTCACTTGGATGGCTGATTAGCGGCAGAATCGACGAGGCCAGAAGTATAAAGGCTCATGCATTTATATGCAAGGGGGAAAGTATTTGAGATCTCAACGTCAACTTGAAGAAGATCTGAGCACAGATCAGCCGGCTCTCACAGAGGAAGAAGAAGCCTGCGAAAAACACTTCACACCTCAGGTAACAGTCCTTGGTTCCGGATGCGTTCAGGTATGCCTACCATTCAAACACCATCCAGAAACTCATGGCACTTCAATGGAGACTGCCAGATATCGCACAAGAAAAGCGTCTGAGCGCAAACCTTTGCTGAAAGGCAGTTCATGAGCGAATATCTCTCGTTTACAGATTACAGATCATGTTAATATCTCCCAGCCACACTACTTTTTTCTCAACAACGAAGTTACGTGTAGTAGCTATTCGACGCGTCAGCTGGAACATCGAGAGACCTGTCCCTCGAGTAATTTCAGTCCTAGCCCGTCTTTGCGACTTACTCGGCTTGCTCAGCCCAGTGGTTTTTCGCTGCAAAATCTTCCCTCAACAACTCTGGCTGCAAGGACTTGGATGGGACGACACAGTAACATCTAACCTAATCATGGAATTGCATCGAATCGAATTAGATCTCCAGAGAACTAATAAAATCGAAATTCCACGATTTTCGCAAGCAGAGAGATACCCTGGTTATCTCCTCACCGGTTCGTCCCTTTAGACATTCCCTAAACCAACTATGCATGGCAGCAAGCTATAGTATCGTACACTATTTCAACGCATCGTGTACACAAAAAGACGCCAATAAGACCTGTGACGGCGGGATTACATGCACACGCTTTAGATGCGATCGATATTCAAACGCCTAAAGGAGGTTTGCGACGCCCAATCTGCAAAATAGCATCTTTGCCAATCCAACATGGTGCTCGAAAGCTACACCTTTCAACAGGCGGAGAAGGCTTGGACCTACTATTATATTCGTATTTAATCATTTTTAGTATAGCGGGGTATTTATGTATTAAAACCTGTTCCTAGGCTATGTACTTTATCAACGATTTGATAAACGACTTATTAAACTATATTTAACAAATTCCTCATTCCCACGCCAGAGGTAGAGGTTTTTGAGCGTTTTTTGTGGTTTCCTCAAGATTCTATTGCATAATGCAAATACTTTATTGATCTCTTATTATCTAATTTCAAAATTTAACAATTTGTGAAAAACTTTACTATAAGCGATTTGGATTTTTCCAATGGTGCTAGCTAAAAGATAAATTAGATAAGTTTTAGTAATGTAGCGAAAAGGTGTGAGGAAAGTTGTGAATCAATTTGTTTAAAAATGTATTTGTGTTTGATCAAAATTAGTTTGTAATTGGCATTTGATTATAATTTGATATTATTTTGCCCTCTCAAAAAAATGTGTTAAGTTTGTTAAAGATTTGCAGATGAAATATTTTTCTGCAAAAGGATGTCAGTGGGTATTATAAAGAATTTTTATTTAAAGGAATCTCATTTCCCCCGTCAGCTACAAATGCATATATACACAAGCACGGATATCTTGTTTTCAGTATTCATGTTTTCATTAGTCTTTAACCTGGACTAGATTTATTTGCACATTTTCCTGTAAATACATTTATTAGAATAAAAAGCAACCATTACCAATTTTGTAAAATGGTTTAACAAAGAAATACCTTTAGTCTTGTGGTGTTTTCCTAGACGGTCACACTTAACGGCTTGGTTATCCCCATATGCTAGAGAGCGAGACAGCAAGAATTGGAGGCCATGACGAACAAAAATAGGCAAAGCAGAATATTACAAAATTGTGGGACTTGTAGGCTGAATTTAAAAAACAAAAAATTATACGGTTACTTGCTGGTAAGCCTTAAGATTATGAACAGCACTGTTTAAAACAACTTAGCAAATTTTATAACAGAGAAAGTGTAAAAAAACAAGAGTAGTTTTATCGCAGCTTGGCGCCGCCTATTGTACCAATTTGTACTTAGCAAGCGTCTTCACTTTATTTCCGAATTTCTGTTATTTTTTATATTTTGTTCATTTTAGGGGTGCCTATATATTAGTTAAGATAATGTAGCAGAAAGGTGTGAGGTAAAGCCGTGAATCTACCTGTTTAAACCTTTATATGTATTTGCTTAAACATAGGAATGCAATTTCAATATAAGAATAAAAAAATTAGATTGTAATATTATTGCATTTATCAGAGTTCTACTTGAATGTTGGAGACGGGTGTGAGGAAAAGCCGTGAAAGTATTTGCATTAACAACTGTATTAGTTTAAACATAGGTGTGCAATTTCAATTTGAGAATAATAAAATTGGTTGGTAATTTTAAATAAGTTTTTCCGTATAAAGAAAATATATTAAATCTTATTTCTTAAGATTTGCAAATAAAATATATTTTAGAAAAGGGGTATTAGTTGGTATTTTAAAGAATTTGTACTTAAACGAATCTTACTTCCGCCGTCAGCTTAAAATGCATTTATACTCACACAGAAGCACGCATATCTTTTTTAGTAATCTTAATATCAAACCAAATCGCCTCTTAACGAGATAAAAATCTAGTGAACATCGCACCTTCAGCAAACCAAATTTCTGATATCAACGTTTGTGACGAAAATGTATTATACGGTCTACTACAGACAAGGAATAAAAGTAGTTTTGAAAGGCGTACAAAGTATTTCGAAATTCCTTTTTACGATATATAGTTTTTGCCAGTAGCTTTATTTGTTTACAAGTTAAGGGTGTACTAAATATAGAACCAATGCCATTTTTGTTAACTAATAACTTTGAAGACTTTTTACAACAATGTATGCCAAAAGATGATGAATCTCAAGGGCTATACACCTAAACATATTATTTGAAGTCGTTAGAGCGGTTTTTGAGAAATCACAAAAAAAATACAAGAATCTAATTAAGAAAACCTTTTGCCAATAATTCTTAAACGGTGGTATTTAGACAAATTATGTTAGAAAGAAGTTCAACGTATTTCAAAATACCTTTCTAACGACATATAGCACAAGTATGTAGCTTTAGTAGTTTACAATTTACGGGTGTACCAAATTTGGCAATTTATAGCTGTTTTCTAGCCAAACCTGCTAGTTTTTTAATTTCTTATATTGAGCTGATTAACATCGTCTAGAATTTTCAGGACTCTAAAATAACGTGCGGGGATGTAACTTGTTCTGGCCAGGATCCTTTACAATTAAGTTTGTAAATAGAGGGACGAAAACAGAAAACATGCCGTTTGATTTGCCTCAGACGGAAAATAAATGGAATTTTCGATGAAAGCCGTTATCCGCGGCCCAAAGAACAAGAAATTTAATCTTTGGCGGTGTTCGTGCAGAAGCGGTGGGGAATTTAAAAATTAAAAATGGAAGAAAAACACCAAAAACGGCTAAAGGAGGTCAGTGCAGATGAAAAAGGACGCCTAATCCAAGCTGTTGCCCATTGTTGTGGGACTTGACCGACAGGAAGCAATACCACAACGGGCCAAATCCGCAGAATAGTTGAAGCGCTGGAGGAGATCCACTAAAGAATCCCAGTGGGAAGGAACATGGGACATCGTTCGATCTCCGACGAGCTCTCCATTGAGGACTCCACCTCTACCAGCCGCTAAGGGACAGCTGGAGGAGCCATCACCAGCCATTATTGGCCAGCCTATTGGGACTCGTAGCTGGGCCGCAGATGGCGCGGGAAAGATAGCGAAGCATCCGTGGCATGAGAAAGAAGCCTTAAACTAACTCTAATTTACATTAAAAAAAACATTCGTTGAACATTTCATTTATTATACCCGTTACTCGTAGAGTAAAAGGGTATACTAGATTCGTCGGAAAGTATGTAACAGGCAGAAGGAAGCGTTTCCGACCCCACAAAGTATATATATTCTTGATCAGGATCACTAGCCGAGTCGATCTAGCCATGTCCGTCTGTCCGTCTGTCTGTCCGTCCGGATGAACGCTGAGATCTCGGAAACTATGGGAGCTAGGCCATTGAGATTTGGCGTGCAGATTCCTGAGCTTCTTACGCAGCGCAAGTTTGTTTCGGCACAGTGCCACGCCCACTCTAACGCCCACAAACCGCCCAAAACTGTGGCTCCTACAGTTTTGATGCTAGAATAAAAATTTTAACTGAAATGTATTGTTCTCATCAATACCTATCGATTGACCCAAAAAAAAGTTGGCCACGCCCACTTTAACGCCCACAAACCGCGAAAACCTGTGACGCCCACAATTTTCATGCTAGATACAAAATTTTAACTGAAATGTATTGGTCTCGTCGATACCTATCGATTGATCCAAAAAAAAATTTGCCACGCCCACTCTAACGCCCATAACGCTTAAATCTGTATACCGCCGGTAGGTGGCACATTTTAATCTCGCTTTGCTGCTTGCATATCTCCATATAGCTGAGTAACGGCTATCTGATAGTCGAGGTACTCGACTATAGCGTTCTTCCTTGTTATACCCGTTACTCGTAGAGTAAAAGGGTATACTAGATTCGTCGGAAAGTATGTAACAGGCAGAAGGAAGCGTTTCCGACCCCATAAAGTATATATATTCTTGATCAGGATCACTAGCCGAGTCGATCTAGCCATGTCCGTCTGTCCGTCTGTCCGTCTGTCCGTCTGTCCGTCTGTCCGTCTGACCGTCTGTCCGTCTGTCCGTCTGTCCGGATGAACGCTGAGATCTCGGAAACTATGAGAGCTAGGCTATTGAGATTTGGCGTGCAGATTCCTGAGCTTCTTACGCAGCGCAAGTTTGTTTCAGTAGACTGCCACGCCCACTCTAACGCCCACAAACCGCCCAAAACTGTGGCTCCCACAGTTTTGATGCTAGTTAGAAAATTTTAACTGAAATGTATTGTTCTCATCAATACCTATCGATTGACCTAAAAAAAATTTGCCACGCCCACTTTAACGCCCACAAACCGCGAAAACCTGTGACGCCCACAATTTTCATGCTAGATAAAAAATTTAAGCTGAAATGTATTGTTCTCATCAATACCTATCGATTGACCCAAAAAAAAGTTTGCCACGCCGACTTTAACGCCGTCAAACCGCGAAAACTTGTGACGCCCACAATTTGGATGCTAGATGAAAAATTTTAACTGAAATGTATTGGTGTCGATTGATCCAAAAATAAATTTGCCACGCCCACTCTAACGCTCATAACGCTTAAATCTGTCTACCGCCGGTAGGTGGCGCATTTTAATTTCGCTTTGCTGCTTGCATATCTCCATTTCCCTTTGAGTAACGGGTATCTGATAGTCGAGGTACTCGACTATAGCGTACTTCCTTGTTTTTATTTTAACTTCTTTGTGCACCAGCAGACTCTTCTTTTTTAAATTGATTTGTTTTCTGTTTGGCAACAAGCCCAGCTGCTTAACAGTAAGACCATGCCACATGCATTGCGGGTGAACTTTGAAAACTTCGGTCACTCTACAAAGAATAAGATTTTTCGACTAGTGAAACTCTTAGCCGATCTGAGTACTAGGCTTAACGGAATCAACGTTAGGTGCGCGGTGGAGTGGTGACGTGGTGTGCAATCTTCATCTCCCTTGCACGAGGCACTCGAATATATCGTATGTCGAAGAAACGAATGTAAAATAGGAACACACTCTATAGACGATTGCATCGACTATTAGATGCCACCTACTGCCACCTATCTCTTCTTCTATAGCGCCACCTAGCCTATAACGCCAAAAAGGCCATAGCGGCCCTTGCGGCTTGGTGGCATATTAGTGAAAACAGCGTGTATAATGCATGCGGTGTGCAATCTCAGTTGAATTGCAGAATATTAATTATTAACTTTATAACTTTATAATGACGGTCCGATTTCAAGCATTTTTTGCATGTAAATAGGTATTGATAATAAGAAAAAACTTTAGGCGGGTTTTAGTGTTATAGTCGTTTGTGGGCGTTAGAGTGGGCTGAGACAAACTTGCGCTGCACAGGAAGCCCAAGCACCTGCATGTTAAGTCCCAACACTCTAGCTTTTATAGTTTCCAAGATCTCAGCGTTCATACGGACAGACGGATAGACGGACATGGCTAGATCGACTCGGCTAGTGATCCTGATCAAAAATATATATACTTTACGGGTCGGAAACGCCTTCTTCTACCTGTTACATACTAGGCTAGTAATCCTGATCAAGAGTATACGAGTATGTACTTTATGCACGTTGCTCGTAGAGTAAAAGGGTACACTAGATTCGTCGGAAAGTATGTAACAGGCAGAA